AAGATGAGGCTTTCTACTCCCGTAAGGATTTACACCCTCGGAAACCCTGTACAGGGTCGCTATGGGTCGGAACCGACTCGACAGCACGTAACAACAACAACAACATATATATGAATGACCAAAGGGTTGATAGCTATTTTAAATCTTGGATGAGAAGGTTGGGAGGCAGGGAGATTAAGTCAATAAAAGTGACACAAATAGAACAGAAATGACAAGAATGTTGACACAATGTGAGTAATATAATGGATGTCACACTGATCATTTTGGTGGACATTCTCACCAAAAAGAAAGTTAAAAATCAATGAGCTTTACACAAATATATCATGAGTGGGGCTGGGAGGCAGGAACCACCTGGATCCAGGGCGAGTGGGTGGGGATGGTAGGCCTGGGCTCGCATCAGCCACTAGGTGGCAGTGCAGGTCTACATTACTGCACAACTCCCTAAGCCGCCCTCAGAAATTACACACCAGCCAGCCAGTTTGTGTTGAGCACTGGTGTCTGGACGTGTGTAAACGAACATGTATGTGTGGATTTCTGTGCATATATGCATATACTTAGATTTACTTTTCAGCTACAATTCTGGAATTTTCCAACCTGAAGGACAAGGCTTGTGTGGTTCGATCATGTGCTTGCTTCAACACCCCCAAAACCTAAACAGCCAGACCTCCCAGTCTCGAGGGCAAAAGCAGGTCCAAACGGACAAAGGACAGAATGGCCATGATGACAGGCCAGACCTGGTGGCTTGACCCTTCTTTCCCACTACCCCCTCTAGCTCCAACCAGCCCAGCGTGGCAGGGGTTCACTAGGTTGTGTGTGCGCAGCCAGGTTGATAGAATCTCCTGGCAGCAGGACCTCCACCCAGCACTCGGGGTGCCTGGCTTCAGGCCACAAAATTTTAGGCTCTGAAGTGGCTCCCTCCTGCTTCTGACAACAGACTGTCAAGGGTGACTCAGGGTAATGTCTGCCCCTCCACTACCAGCTGTTCTGCAGAAGAAAGATGGGGCTTTCTGCTCCCGTAAAGATTTACAGCCTCAGAAACCCTGTACAGAGTCACTATGAGTCAGAACCGACTCCACAGCACACCACATCACCACTACCACTCCCATCAGGCCAGGCTTCATGCATGTCTGGGGGGTGGGGGAGGGGCAGCATCTGGAGGGCTTGTAATCCTCCTGCTACTGAGGTGCCATGGAGTTAGAACGCCTTGTTCCCTTACCGCCTCCTCCCCGTGGGAGCTGCCCTGGCAGAGCAAGCGGAGGCTGGCACGGAGCATGGGGGCTGAGCCACGTTGGGCATGAGATCTGGGCTCCCTGCTGCTACTTGGGAAGGTCCCACTGGATAGAGCAGTGGTTCCTGAAGCCAGGACAACAGGGCAAGGGGTGCCACCTGCCCCTTTCACTCCTGTCCCCAGGCCTGGGTGGCACGGGGCCACCTGGCTGCATCTCAGCGTGTCTGCTTTGTACAGGCTGTCCTGGCTCAGAGCAGGTGCATGGTGCGGGCTGCTGCCAAGCACAGGAACTGGTTGAGCTCTGGACTGGCCTACAGACACCCAGCACCAGCCTCAAAAGCCACTCAACAGATGAAGCCTGAAAGATCTGGGAGGGGACGACAATGTGGAACAGAACTTCAAAGTCCCAAAGAATCTAGCCTGAGACCCAACCATCCTCAAAGTCATCTTTAAACAAAAAACCTACTTAGTTCACAAAGTGAAGAATGAGATCCATAAATGCTGGGATTTTATGAGGATGGGCTCCATGGTGCAGTGGTCAAAACACTTGACTGCTAACCGAAAGGTTGGCAGTTGGAGTCCACCGCTGTACAGGAAAAAGACGAGGCAGTCTGCTCCCGCCAAGACTTATACAGCAAGGCGGTTCTACTCTATCCTACAAGGTCCTGATGAGTCTGTTGGGGGGCCCTGTTATGAAGGGGCAACAGTAACTCTAAGGGACAAATGAGGGAGCAATGAGTCCAAATGGGTGGGGATGGAACCAGGCAAAGGTGGGACACCATGAGGAACATTTAACCATGTTGCTGAACGACACGTGTAGCGATTAGTAAATGGGAGCACATTTGTATGTTTCCACCTCTCCAGCCCCCTCACCTGAGGTCCTTGAGCCTCCTGCAGTGCTTCAGCATGTCTGAGAGGGCGGACATGTAGACCACCTTCCCCATCACGCCCAGGTTGGCCAGAGACAGCGACTGCAGCTGCTGGCATTGCAGGCCGATGCTGACCAGCCCAGAGCCCGTAAGTATGCTGGGCAGCTGGGCCAGCGTCAGGTGTCGCAGGAAGGCCAGCTGGCCAATGGCAGCCACCTCAGCATCACCGACACTCTGGGCCCGGCTGCAAGGTGGCAGGGAGTTGCGGATGGCAGGCTCATTGCGGGGCATGGCAGAGGAGAAGTTGGAGCCAATGAGCTCCAGGCGCTCCAGGAAGGGCACGCTCCGCAGCAACGACCAGAAGACAGAGGAGGGCTGGGGCGCCGACTGCCCGGTGGCAAAAGGACTGGGCACTGATGGCACACCGATGCGCACCTTCTTGCCAAAACCCCGAGGCACGGCATGCATGGCAGGTGGCACAGGTGCCCGGTCAGCCCGGGGCGCCGAGTCAGCGACAGCACAGACAGGGAGGGCCAGGGAGCGCAGGTGGCCCAGGCGGGCCAGCAGCTGACAGAGGTGGCGGCCTAGGCCCTCAGCACTGTGGTGGTGGGCAGCCGACAGGTTCAGGTGCTGCAGGTTGCAGCAAGCGCCCACCAGTGTCTCCAGGATGCTGCTATCGATGTTGTCCTCAGCCTTGCGGAAGAGGGCATCTGGAGAGAGGCAGTGGACGCAGCCGCTGAGGTTCAGGCTAGCCAGGCTGCGCAGGTCCCGGCCACCGTTGATGACCCGCTGGATCAGGTGGCCGCCTGAAAGGGCACAGCGGCTGAAGCTGAAGTAGAAGGGGTTATTGAAACGCATGTGCTGCAGCAGCGCCGAACCGTTCAGCCAGGACTTAGGCAGCTGCAAGGCGTCCAGGCAGGCATTGCGGGCCATCGAGTCCAGCAGGTTCTTGGTGGCCCCGCTCTCGGCAAAGCTGCCAGGCACAGAGATGAGGAAGGCGTGCAGGTTCTCAGGCGTGCGGTCGCTGAGCACAGCCAGGTAGAGACGCACCACCTCCTGGTTGATGTAACCGGGCGCCAGGCGGGCATAGAAGACCCGCAGGTTCTGGTAGTGCGGCACGTTGCTCTGGCCCACCATGAGCTGGCCCGAGAGGATGGCACCCTCGCGTGTGCGGTCCAGGATCTCAAAGTAGAGCAGCAACTTCTCCAGGCTGGTACAGCAGGGCACCACGCCGTACGAGGGTGTAAAGAGTGTCTGCCGCAGCTCCCGCACGCGGCTCAGCGTGGCCTTACACTCACTGCTCAGCTGGCTGGCGTCGAAGCCAGGGCTCACGTCAATGGCCAGTGAGCGCAGGTGCTGCAGCACCGAGAGCACCTTGGAGAGGCGCAGGGAGGTCAGGTGACAGCCCGATAGGTTCACCTTCACCAGGTTGCGGCAGCGGGCCACATGCTCCACGGTGGCCCCCGACAGCCAGTAGCAACCTGCCATGTTCAGCTGCTGGATCTCACGACCAATAGCCTTCACCAACTGCTTCACTTTGTCCTCACTGGCCTGCAAGGAGGGTGGACAGGGGGCAAGGAAAGGGTTGAAGGCACACAGGGGTCTCCATCACTCCTCAAGGGCACACTTCCCCACCAAGATAGGGAATCATGAGGGACCCTGGGGGGCTGAGATACCCCAAAGAGCTAGCCTCATCTCTCCCTTCTATTATAATTTCTGTCCCCCCAAAAGAGATGCTGCCCACAAGAACTAGGGTCTTTAAAGATGTCAGAGAATGTGAGTTTATGCTGGAGAAGGTGGGCCTGCCCCACCATGAATGGGATCCTTATAAAAGAGGGAAGACCACCAGGGGAAGGTGAATCTACAAAGCAAGGAAGGCCCGGGACTACCTAAAGCTGGGAGGGTGGCCAGTACCTGATTCTCCCTCCAGTTTCAGAAGCAGTTAAGGCAGCTGACACTCTGATCCCTGCCTCCCAGTACCCAGAGTAGAGAGACAATGAACGTCTATTCCTATGAGCCAGGTTCCTGGTGTCTTGTTACGGCAACCTCAGGACACGGAGATACTTTCCCACAAACTTACCTTCAGCCAACAGCCACACAAGTGTCCAGCTGAGCCACAAACCCTCCCACCCTGGAGCACAGAGTGAATTCCTTCTACCCCACGCCACAAACCACAAGTCAGGCCCTAGCATACAGCAACCAAGCTGTAGCTACTGCTTCCCTTCGTTTGCCCAGAATTAAGCTGTTCCTCAAAAACACATCGAGAGAGCCGAAAGCGGGACCCTACCCGAAAAGCAGTAATGCCTGAGATGGAGACAGAGACGATGATGTGGAGCGATGGAGCAGCTGGAGCCTTTAGATCCAGAGAGGGAGAGCGACTGTGTGCTGAAGACTGGGAGGTGTGGGGGGAGTGTAGGGAGCAGGCTTCCAGGGTATACCCTTTGGTTGATTGAGGATGCATGGAGGGGATTGTAACCATGGCAATGAAATTATATACGATAGAATGAATGTAAAACTAATGTTCTCCCATGTAAATTATCATATAATTCACAATAAAACATTAAAAAAAAAAACACACACACATCGAGGTTTTAAACCTAAAACCAAAAACATCACCTGGGAGCTTCTCAAAATCAAACTATAACTTAGCTGAACTGGTACAGAAGGTCTGCCTCGAGCACTGTGCGCTCTTCTATCTGGAATCAAAGTGACAACTGGAAAGGTTAGAGGGGACCTTAGGGGGCAGTCAGGCTAGGTTAACAGAGGAAGAACAGCAGAAAAAAGACGGGGAGGTGATGGCACATCCTGAAGAATGGAATCCGTGTTACTGAAGAGTGTGTGTGGAAACGGTGGGAACTGGTATCTATTTTGCTGTGCATATTCTTGACAACATCAATATTAATGAATTGATTAAACACACACACCGAGAGAGGTTTAAATGACCCACACTGTGTCTAGTGGACAGAGCACAGCAGTCAGCCACCTCTCCAGGTGGACCTGTGGCTGGATGGACATCATACCTTGTCATAAGCAAGGCTGCACAAACACCTATACCTTAGCTGGGGGGCACTGATCAGACTTGGACCTACGTGTACAAAAACGGACCTGCCTCATCCAGAGAAAAAGCAAATCCACTGCTGTCCAGTCAATTCGGACTCCTAGGACGGAGTAGAACTGCCCCATAGGGTTCCAAAGCTGTCATCTTCATGGAAGCAGATTGCTATAGCTATCTCCCATAGAGGAACTAGGGGATTCATACCACCAACGTTTTGATCACAGTACTTAACCACTGTGCCCCCAACACACCTTACTCAAAGACAAGCATGTCTTAAATGCTCCTGATACCTGTGAGGTGAGGCAGCACTGTGAACCTTCCACTACGAGAAAGAACCTTCACAGACAGCCAGTCTGGCCTCATGGCTTCAGGGAGGGAGTCAGGTCAGTCTTCCTCCCCGGGCAAAGCCAAGCAGAACAACCTCCAGCAGAAAAGGCACAGCAGCCTCGCTCCAGATCCCAAAGGCACCGCTTCACAGCCAGTGAGAAAAGGTGGTTCCACTCAGAATACTCGCCTTCCATGCAGGCGACTCCAGGGGGATTCTTGGCCAATGCACCTAACACAGGACCCCACCCCTCTGTCAGTGGAGGCTTCAGTGTCGCTAGGATGCGGAACAGGTTTTAGCAAAGCTTCCAGGTTAGGACCAGGAAGAAAGGCCTGGTAATCTACTCCCAAAATCTGACCAATGGAAACCCATGAACCACAGCAGTCCAGTCCTCCAGCAATCAGGACACAGGAGCAGGCAGCATAGTGTTCTGCTGTGCACGGGGTCTCTGTGAGTCACAGCCGACTCCAGGGCAGCCAACAACCAACCATAACAGAGTCATTAGGAGCCCTTTCCCTATCTCCTACACTGTAAATTCAGATCAAAGCCCTAGAGAATTGCTTATTATTATCTTTTTTGTTGTGTGCTGACAAGTAGGCTCTGACTCATACTCACCCTGTATCAGGTTTCTGAGGCTATAAATCTTTACCGGAGCAGAGAGCCTCATCTTTCTCCCACGAAGCAGCCGGTGGATTTGAACTGCTGACCTTGAGATTAGCAGCCTAACACAAAACCCACTACACCACCAGGGCTCTTATTTTTTATCTTTAAGATATATCATCAATTGATTTTTGAGAAAGGTTCTAAAGCAATTCAACAAGAAAAAGAAAATCTCGTCAAGAAACAGTGCTAGACCAATCAGGTGACCATATAAAACAGGGAGGCTGGACCCTTACCTAACACCCTTACCTCATAAAAAAACTAGCACAAATCAGAGCTCGACTTAACCTGAAGAGTTATGCTTATAAAATTTCTGTAAGACAACTTAAGAGAAATTCTTCATGATCTCAGGTTGAACAAAGACTTCTTAAATATGACACATAAAGCACGGACTCAAAGGAAAAATTCAATAAACTGGATTTCACCAAAGCCAAAAAACATTTGCTTAAAGAAACATGTCAGAAAATGAAACGGCAAGCCTGGGAGAAAAAAACTAAAAATGCATATATTGGACAAAGGACTTGTATCCAAGTATATAAAGAACTGCAAGGCCAGTAGTTCAAACTCACCAGCCACTCCTCAGAAACTCCATACAAGGTCGCTATGAGTCAGACCCCACTTGACGGCTTTATAAGGAGTCCTACTGTGGTGGTGCTGCAGAGTAAACACAGTACAGCTACCTACAAACCCACCAATCACTCCTCAGAAACCCTACACAGACAGGGTCACTGAATCAGAACTGATTCGACAGCACTTCACAGCAACAATAGCTTGATAAGAAAAAGACAAATAAAACTCAATAATAAGTGGACAAAAGACTCGTTAAATGCCTGAGTCAGTTCTAACTCATAGCAACTCTGTATATTTTTCCCAAGGCTGTAAATCTTTGTGGGAGCAGAAAGCCTCATCTTTCTCCCATGGAGTGGCTGGTGGTCTTGACCCACTGACCTTGTAGTATGCAGTCCAGTGCTTATTCTACAGAGCCACCCCACTGAAGAGACTAGAACTTCTAGGGGCCGTGTGTGATGAGCGATGACAGCCTTCACCACTGAGATACCATTTCTCATCCTCAGAAATGGCTAAAAGGAGCCTTGGTGGTATAGTGAGTAAGCACTCGGCTGCTGCTCCAAAGGTCTGCAGTTGAAACCCATGAGCCGCTCTGTGGATGTGACAGCCTGCTTCCCTAACGATGTATATCCTAGGAAACCCCACGGGGCCATTCCACACTGTCACATGGGGTGGCTATCACTCAGAATCAACAGATTTGGTTTGAAGTTTGGGGGGAATGGCTAAGACTCAAAAGACTGATAACATCAAGGATTGACCAGGATGCTCCTGCACTGCTGGGGGTATATACCATGGGGCACCCCCACTGTACTGCTGAGAACCCCAAGTTTAACTTCCTAAGAACTCCAACACTTACCCAGCTACCCACTCCTACATACCCACTGGAAAGCCAGTCTCCCTCCTGAGCCCCTCACTCGCGAAACACTGTCTGTCCCTCCCAGGGAGCTACCACACACTTTGCCAAGTCCCTCAGCACCCTAGCCCCGCCTCACCTGGTAATCCTTCTGCAGTAGCACCGTGTGGGTGAGGCTCTTGTCCAGACAGAGGGTAGCCAGCTTCCGGCAACTGCGCCGGACATTCAGCACCAGGTCAGTGCTGGGCACGTGGCTGAGAATGTGCAGCAGGATCTCGTCGGAGAAGCCCAGAAGGTGGATGCTGCCCGCCACCGTGGCCGCCGAGGTGCCCGCATCATCTTCACTGGGCATGTCCTGGAATCAGGGGGCATCAGGTTCCAAAGGGCACCTGGAGGCAGGCTCTCAGGTCAGGAGAGAAGCCATGGGGAGCCCACAGGAAAGGATGTGCTAAAATTCCTAACAGTACAGCAACAGAACACTAAAACCAAAACCAAGCCACAAAGAATCTATGGGTCAGAGTAGAAAGACCCTATTGGGTTTCCAAGGCTGAAAGTAGCAGACAACCTCATCTTTCTTCTGTGTAGCGGCTGGTGCATTTGCACTGCTGACCTTGTAGTTAGCAGTACAGCACCTGACCCACAGCAACCCTGGAACTCCTTACCAAACAGCAAAGAGACTGTCAAGTTCTACAAGAAAAACCTTTTACAGATCTGAAAACCAGGAGCATGCTTCAGAATCAATAGACCTGGAAATAAGATATGTAATGTTTAAAAGGAGTGCTGGTGTGGCACTGTGGGCTAATGCACTATACTGCAAAGTCCGTTTGAACTGCAAGGTCAGTGATTCAAACTTACCAGTCACTGCCCTGAAACCCTCTGCAAAGTCACTATGAGTCGGAAACAGCTCAACGGCACTTGACAACTGAAATAAGTGTTTAGATGATCGATCGTCTAGTGTCAGATGCTGTAGGATCAGCACTAGACTGCGAACCATAAGGTCGGCAGTTCAAACCCACCAGCTGCTCCTCAGAAACCTTATACTGAGTTGCTATGAGTGGAAACCGACTTCAAGCCACTTAGCAACAGCACTTAAAAGGTCTTACCAAAGGCCTTTGGTCAAGTTTGCTGTGCTTCAGGCTCAACAACATGACACTAGCCAAGGTTCTCCTCTCTTGAAAGCCACTAGTCGGCTCTAGGTCCCTGGCTCAAGTGATTGATGCTCAATGACTAAAGATTGGGGGTTCAAACCCTCCAGAGGCACCGCAGAAGAAAGGCCTGGCAATCTGCTCTTGTAAGGATCATAGCCAAGAAAACCCTATGGAGTGCAGTACTACCCTGTAACAAACGGGGGTACTGTAAGCTGAAACAGACTCCTCTGCAACAGATTGCTTTGGTGTTTATTCCCACACACAAATGGCAAGCTATTTAGGTAGGAAAAACTTACCTATCAAGTTTCTATCAAGAAACTTACTGGCAAGGACACATATATGATCCATTTATATAAAATGCAAGATTCCTGGTGTGGTGCTGTGGGATACAGTATTGGACCTTGTGAACTGCAAGGTCAATCGTTCAAACTCATTAGCCACTCCTTGGAAACCCTATACAGGGTCGCTATGCGTCGGACCCAACTGAATGGTACTTAGCAACAACAACAACAGTATGAACTATCTAGAAGACACTAACGTTTACTAGTCGTCACCACGGGCAGTGGGATGGGGAGAGAGGGAGGCCGCATTGAAGGGATACTGGCTTTGTTTGGGGGGGGATGGGAATATTTACAAATGGACAAAGGTGATGGCTGCATACTTGGTGAAAGTAAATCATGTCACTAAATGTACACATCAAAACGGTGAAATGGCAAACGTTCTGTTACGCAGGCAGGCCTCAGAGATGACAGGGCTTCCATTGCAGACCTCCACAATACAGTGAAATTTACAACCAAGTGAGGCACACACAGTTTATGGTTTCCTTTTGTTGTTTTTGTTAAGTGCCATAGGGTCAGCTCCAACTCATAGCAACCATGTATAGGGTTTCTACAGTTTTAAGTCTTTGTGGAAGCAGAAAGCCTCATCTTTCTCCCACAGAACAACTGGAAATAAATCCAGTGTTTATCCTATAGAGCCACCATGCTTGTATTTGGTTTTGCAGAGTGTGGTGCTGTAGGATAAGCGCTGGACTCCTGACCACAAAGTTGGTAGTTTAAACCCACCAGCCACTCCTTGGAAACCCTATACCTGGTCGCTCTGAATCAGAACTGACTCGAGGGCACTTAACAACAAGTGCATGGAAGGAGTCCTAGTGTGGCACTATAGGATAAGCATTGGACTGCAAGGTTAGCAGTTTAAACCCACCAGCTGTTCCTTGGAAACCCTATACAGGGTCGACATGAGTTGGAACCAACTCAATGGTACTTAACAACATCAAGTGCACAGAAAAGGAGCTCTGGTGGTGTTGTAGGATAGCACTGGTCAACTAACCGCAAGATCAGCAGTTCAAATCCACCAGCTGCTCCATAGGAGAAAGATGAGGCTTTCTGCTCCCATAAAGGTTTGTAGCCTCAGAAACCCTACATGAGGTTGCTAAGAGATGGAATGAGAGGGACCAGTCCCTGGAGAAGGACATTATGCTTGGTAAAGTGGAGGATCAACCAATAAGGACCCCAATGAGATGGACTGGTACAGTGGCAGCAGCAATGGGCTCAAGCTGAGCAATGGTGAGGTTCGTGTTAAGACCGGGCAGTGTTTCAATCCGCTGTGCACAGGGTCGCTCTGAGCTGGGAGCGACTTGACGGCACCTAACAACGAGAAGTCGGAATCGACTTAATGACAGTGAGTTTGATTTTTTGGTTTTTGAAGTGCAGAGAAAAGTGAGGCTGACACCAGACCACAATCTATGATGTACACAACAGCATGGTGGGAAAGTGTGAAATACTACAAGAATGACCAACATGGGGCACGGAGACACAAAGTGAGCACATGCCTGGCATCAACACACTTGTTCCGCACACAGAGCTGGCACAACTTTAAAAACACAATAGCTGCAAAGCATGATAAAAATGGTGCGCAATAAAACAAGGTGCATCTGTAAACAAGGGGGCTTCAAAAAGCCTGTGGAGAAATGGAATTGAAAGATAATGAAATTTTCCATAACTCTATAAAGGCCCTGTGTACATTTTATCACTATTAAAATGAAAAAGAAAGTTTCTGGTAACAATAGTGTCTCCATCCCACAGGGCTACGATGAGCAGTAAGGGAGTTAGGACCCTCATGGGGCAGTAGGACAATATCCGACCCAAGCAGCCCTTCCAGCACTATTACTCGGACCACATGAAACTTGAGCAAGGACGCAGGCAAGTCCTCCTAAAGAAGAGGGACAGGTGATGTTTTAAATCTGGAAGTCAGCCATGAATAACAGAAAGAGCATACCTATTTCCATTTATCCTGCTCTGGGTTAGAAATGTATTTGAGCGTGTCCAGTAAGACGTCTCTACAATTCGTTTTGGAGTCCTGGTGTGGCGATGTAGGACAAGCACTCAACTGCACAGTCGGTTTGAACTGCAAGGTTGGTGGTTCAAACTCATCAGTCACTCCTCAGAAATCCTATACAGGGTCGCCATGGGTTGGAACCAACCCGACAGCACTTAACACGACAACCACAAACAATTCATTTTGCCTTGCAGTAGATAGCTAGCAAACTCAAAGGTTTTCTATACAAATGCAGCCATGCACCTGAATGCCCAACACCTCTTTGAAACAACCAAGAGGGACAGGGACCCACCCTGGGCTAATGTGAGCATGCAACTCCCAAAATTAGCAGGAAGGAGTTCAGAAGAGTTAGAGGGGCCTCCGTCTATCCACAGAGGCTTCTGTGTTGATATAAGCTGAACAGGCTTCAACAGAGCTTCCAGAGTACGACAGACCAGGAAGAAAGACCTGGCCATCTACTTCCGAACAGCAATCAGTGAAAACCTTGTGGATCACAACAGTCCAATCCACAACCTGTCATTGGAAATGGTGTGCAGAAGTGAACAGCGTTTCATACTGCCGTGCATGCGTAGCCATGAATCAGGGTCATCTCAAGAGCAACTGACAACAACATGGGGGGAGGACTCCTGTCTCTTCCATACTTCCCCCACCTCTAACATGTCCCACCAAGGATCCCCTCTCTGATGACTCCCCAGAGAGAGAGCACAGAATCACTGTGGCTGCCTTTCTTGCAGTTCTGTCTCCAAGGACAGCCCTCCAGCCTCCTTCCCTGTTTGCATTTGTTAGGAGGCAAGCTCAGAGCTTTTGAAAGCCCTGCCTGATGCCATGGCAACCATGAGGCTGTGGAGGAAGCGACTGTCTGCACATCTCAGGCAGCACTGGTAGGGATAGCAGCCAGGGGTTTGCCAGGAACTCTGGTTTGCGATAGTCCTTCAGCCTGTCCAGCTGGAGTATTGCCCACCCATTCTCCCTTGGAGTGAGAAGCGTCCCCAGTCATCAAGAGAGCCACGGAGACCCCAGAGGGCCTGGCCACTGTGTGCCATTGAGTTAGTTCCAACTCAGAGAGACCCCATGTGACAGAGTAGAACTGCCCCCATAAGGTTTCCTAGCCTGTCATCTTTACAAGAAAGCGACCTGGTGACCCTCGGCTGCCAATCAAAAGGTTAGTGGTGCCAACCCACCAGCTGCTCTGAAGAAAGAACTGGCAGTCTGTTTCCGTACAGACTGACAGCCTCAGGGAGCCATAGGGCAGTTCCACTCTGTCCTAATCAGGTCGCTAAGAGTTGGGATCCACTCAATGCAGTGGGTTTGGAGATTTGGAAGTCAGTCTTCATGGGAGCAGGAAGTTTACCAGGAGGATGCGAGTCCCACACCTCAGCACACCATCAGCCTCTCCCCATTCTCTGATCCCCTTCTCCTCTTCAACTGGCTTCCCCACAATCCCTTTTTCTGCCCCACCTTCTAGGTCAGAGGGCCCTAGCTGCACCATGTCACTGAATTCTGGGCTCACAATCTGTCCCCAGAATCCAGTCATGGACTGACGAAGGACCCCACCTAACAACCACGGCAAAAAAGTGGCTGTTGAGTTGCCTCTAACTCATGGCTCCCCCACGTGGGTCAAAGTAGAACTGATTTTTCAGAACCAGATCACCAGGTCTTTCTTCTGAGGTGCCTCTGGGTGGAATTGAACAGTGGGCCTATTGGTGAATTAATAGTAGCTCCAGATCCTACCAAGGCCTACAGACTCCACCCCCAGGACTAATGCTCATCAGGGGTCTGGGAGATGTAGCTCCGGCACAAGAAAGCATGTGGTAAAAGGGGGAGCAAAGGGCTGGGTTTGAATCCTGCTGAGCAGCCTGAGGGTCACCCCCCCAGAGCCTCAATGTGCAGATCAAAGTAAGAAAGCCAGCAGACATGGAGCTCACACCCAGTCTGATGAGGACACAGCACAGAATTTGTTACCAAAAAACCTCAAGCCATATATAAATTCTGTCCTGGGTGGTGCTGTAGGCCCAGCACTGGACTCTGAACCTCGAGTTCACACCCAACCAGCTGCTCCTCGGATAGCCTATACAGGGTCGCTATGACTTGGAACCAACTCCATGGCACTTAACAACAACTACCTATATTGAGTTTTATTAAAACAACCTTGTTGTTATTGGGAAGTACTGTCCAGTTAATTCTGACTCAGAGCGACTCAGAGGTCTTCTGAGGAATGGCTAGCGGGTTTGAACCACTGATCTTGTAGTTAGCAGAAAAGTGCTTATTTTACAGTGCCACACCAGGATTCCTAACACCACCTTATTGTTGTTGTCAAGTGCCATTGAGTCATTTCCGACTCATTGCGACCCTGTATAGAGTTTCCAAGGAGAAGCTGGTGAGTTTGAACCGCCAACCTGAGGTTCAAACCAACACTGCAGTCGAGTGCTTATCCTACAGCGCCACACTAGGACTACTTAAACTACCTACAGAACCCAAAATCCTCATTGCCATCAAGTCAATTCCAACTCACAGCGACCCTGTCGGACAGAGGAAAACTGCCCCTTATGGTATCCAAGGCTGTCATGTTTCTAGAGGCAGACTGCCACACCTAGCTCTACGGGCGTGAACCACCAACCTTTTGGCCAGCAGTCCAGCGCTTAACCACCAAGCCTCCAGGACTCCTTTAGACAGCACAAGAATGTGAAAATAAATAAAAACATACCTTGATCAAAGATTCTATACAGGAATCCTGACCAAAAAAGGGGAAAAGTAGAAGAGAATTACAAAATCTCATGGAATCCAGTCTTTCCGGAGCCATGGAGACTGGATGAACTCCCAAAACTACTAGCCAGAGATCATCTTTAAACCTTAAACCAAAAACATTCTCTGAAATCTTCGTGAAACTAAACACTAGTTTGGCTGAACTAGTAAACAATATCTGCCTTGAGCAGTATGATCTTTTAAAACTACCTCCAGGGAATCAAAGTCCCAACAAACTCGAAAGGTTAGACAGGAGCCTTAGAGGGCAATGAGCTGGTGTTGAGGAGGGAGGAACAAGCCAGAAATGGAGAATGAGAATGGGTGCAACAACCTAAAGACTCATCAGTGTTATCGACCTGTACGTGTAGAAACAGCTGGCCTGTGTTGTACTGGGAATATATTCAACAACAACACAAGAAAATCAATTTAAAAAAAAAAAACAGAAAGAAAGCCAGGAACTGAGTTCCAGCTCTTTCCACCCAATCTTCTAGCATGACATCATGAGGCTGAAACGCTGCCACTGGTGACTGTCATTTCATTTTTCCTGTTCTTCATTACGTTTCTACCACTCACCATGGCCCAAATTAAAGAAAAACCCTATCTTAGGTCAGACCCCTAATGCTGCCCGCAGCTCCTACTCAACATACGGTGGCTCTTGGGAAGTGGCTGACTGAGGGCGTGGCTGGGCAGGTTGTGTGGGAACCACCAAGATTTCCCAATTTCCCAAACATCAAGTGACTGGTGGGTATGCATAAGCTCAGTCTTTTCCCTGCATCTTAGGCTTCCTGGGACCAAGACGCAGACTTTATTAGGTTATTGCTACTGCATCTTCCTTTCACCCAGGAAAGGTGTCCCCCAAAGTACCCAACACACAGAGAAAGGTACAAAAAACAAGGAGCATCCACCAGAATGGTTGAAGTGGGCTTCTGAGTTTCCTAATTTGTAAAAAAATTAAATGTGGTCATGACTAGCAATTCTAGGCAAACACCCAAAAGAACTAAAAGCAAATTCCTTCAACATGAATGTTCCTAGTAGATCTATTCACAATAGCCAAAAGGTGGAAACAACCCAGGGGACCATGTCCAGAAGAATGTTTCAACACAATGTGGTCTAGCCACAGAAAAACAATCCAAACCCAACCCCGCAGCCATCTAGTAGAGTCCAACTCAGAGAGATCCTGTCACACAGATCAAAGCTGCCCCACAGGGCTTCCGAGGCTATAAATCTTTACGGGAACAGACTGCCACATCTTTCTCCTATGGAGGGACTGGTGAGTTCCAACCGCAGGTGAGTGCTTAACTGCTGTGCCACCAGAACTCCTACTCGAGCTCTACAATGGAATATTATTTAGCCAATAAAAGAGATGGTGTGCTGATACTACCACGCAGGTGCAAGTCCAGACCAGTCTAAGTGGAAGGTACCAGACATGTGATGTGGTTCAGTCAGGTAAAGCTCTCATGGAGACAGAAAGCAGACTGGTAGTCACCAGGACTAGAGAAAGAGTGGGTAGTAGCTGATGAATAGACACAAGGTTTTCTTTGACGGGGTGTATGGGACAATGTCCTCAACTAGAGAGAAATGGTGCCTACATGCCCCTGTGAATGCGTTAAATGCTCCTGAGTATGCCCACCTCCACACACACACCCCAAATAAACTTGCCCTTGCCTATATCTGTATCTCAGGAGAATGTGCTCTCAGTGGCTGGGAAAACTGGGGCAGACCCATCTACCATCTTTTTTTTAAAGTAGGTAGCTAGTCCAAGGTCAGAGGGCCATCAGTGAAGAAGGCAGGGCCTTCGCTGCTTCTTCCTGGAGTGTCCTGAAATTCCAATTCTAGGGTGAAGAGTGGGTCCTGGAGGCCGCTGTGTTTAGCAGGTCTCAGTGGTTCCTATCAGTCACATCTGGGTGCTATCTGGCTAAACTGGACACAGAAGGCTTGGAATGGGTGCAGAGTGACAGTTTAATGTTGAATTAATTCTGACTGTTCAAGACCCTGTAAGAGAAGGGCCCCATAGAGTTTCCAAGGCTGTAAATCTTTAGGGAAGTAGACTGCCTCATCTTTCTCCCATGGAGCAGCTGATGGGTTCAAACCCCTGATCTATCAGTTAGGAGACAAGCACGTAAGCAGTATGCCACCCGAGGTCCTTTTATGCCACACCAAAGCTAAATCCTAAAGTCATCGTTATAGAGTACATACTGACTCATAGCAACCCTACAGCAAGGACTAGAGCTGCACCACCACCACCACCCCGCCGCCCCCGCACGATCCCCAAAGCTGTTATCTTTACAGGAGTGGACTGCTTCATCTTTCTCCCGCAGAGCAGCAGGTGGGTTCAACCTGGGGACCTCTCAGTATCCAACTGCTTAATCACTGTTCCATCAAACATCCTTTCCTGCCAAACAAGGCTCCTTATTCACTAAACTAGACCATCCAGGAGGCCTAAGAGACAGGACCCTGTAAGATCAGGTGCCTAATGACCAACATTATTATCCCCACCCCACCCCCAATTCCGCTCCCACCTTCAGGCCTCCCCAGAACTCACCCGCCCACAGGGGAGCTGGGGCTTCCAGGCTCTGCAATCCTATTAGCTACAATTACCTCATCTCCTCCCCCGACCCCTATTCAAGGAGCCACAGGGACTAAGTCTCAGCCAAAATCACTCCCAAAGAAGACAAGCGGCCAGTAAGCCCCACCCACTCGGAGAAAATTCTCCCAGGTTCCCTAGAACACAAGCAAACCCCAACAACGCAGGCTCCCTTGTCTGAGACTTGGGAAAGGAGAGACACAAATACAGGTACACAGACAGGTAAGCAACAGGCAATAGAGAGCTAAGACACCAATCCGTGTCCACAGCTTCTCTACCCTGGTCTGCAGAGAAAGGAACTTGCACCGCATCACCAGGACGCTTGAGATTCTCCATCAGACTCATTTGTTGGAGATCCCGGGGAGGAATTCCAGGGTAGGTACTCCCTCCGTCCCCCACCCCCGCGTGAAGTGGCCTTTCCTCCCTTTATCCCATACACACAAGTCACACAACAAGCAGGCTCCAGATGGCGGTAAGCTGAACTGAAAGCAACCATTCAGAAAGAGAAAATGGGTAGGAAGTGTCTGGGAAGTGAACAGAGGGAGAGCTGAGCCAAGGCACGGGGTCATGGGAAAGGGCCAGGGAGGCCTGAATGGGCGGTGGGGCAGGAAAAGGGTGGATAACCGAAGGGGCAGACGGGGTCGGGGACAGGGGTCGGGAGGAACGGGGAGCGCGAGAGAGCCGCCGGACGGGTGGAGGGGTCGGGAGGAACGGGGCTCCAAGGGGTCAGGGGCAAGGCCAGGGTCAGAAGGAAATGGACGGGGCGGGGCGGTCGCCATGGGTGGGACGGGAAGGACCGAGGCCGACTGACATCAGGCTCGAAGTGGAAAGGACCGCGCGGGCCCAGGTTCCTGGTCCAGTGCCAGAGTGGGAAGACGAGCGTGGGTGCAGGGTGGGGATGGGAAGGACCAAGTGGAACCCAGGTCCGGATGCGAAGGACTGAGCGGGGCTGGAATCTCCGGGGCAGGGAAGAGCGTGGAGAGAGGTGCGGGCCGTACCTCTCCAGAGCTGGCCATGTCGCGGGCCGACAGTACAGCGGCCGCCGGAGCTACAGCCCCGGAGCCACCCACCTGCCGGGCCAGGGATGCTCAAAGCCGGCGCGTCCGCGGTTCCACAGAGACCCTGGCAGGGGGCGGGACCGTCCGCCACTTCCGGCGCTTTCGGCTACGCACTTCCAGAAGTCCTCCAGCGTGCCCCTCACGCAGCCGCCATGTTGGGTGTGGCGATGCCAGAGAACTATCTAGGTCGGGGACTGAATATTCACGGGGACCCGAGCCTTCCAGCCTTCTGCAGGTTCCGGCCTTGGAACGTCGCCTTTGCTGTTGAAAAACCACCTGTCCCCACTTGAACGTACACACACCTGAACATATTTTCCGTAGCTCTTTCCACCATCTTTGTATTCTTTTTTTTTTCCTTTGCCCTTTCCCCAATAAAATATGAGCAAGTGCAGGACACCCCACGCTCAACCGCCACCCACCCACCCCTGGTACCTAGAATACTCCCTTACTGGCTGTAAATAATGAATGCGTAATTGCTGGTGCGTGAGTGTTTGAATGACATGCCCTCACTTCTAAATCCATCCATTTTTTCCTGGTGTGGCACTGTGGGTTAATGCACCGGACTTAAAAGTCATTTGAACAGCAAGGTCGGCGGTTCAAGCTCACCAGCCGCTCCTCGGAAACCCTATACAGGGTCTCTGTGGGTCAGAACAGACCCGATGGCACTTAACAACAACTACCGCCCGTCTGTCAGTTTGTCATACTGTGGTGGCTTGCCTGTTGCTGTGATGCTGGTAACTATGCCACTGGGATTTCACCTACCAGCAGGATCACCTATAGTGGACAGGTTTCAGCAGAGCTTCCAGATTCCACAAACTAGGAAGAAAGGTCTGAAGCTGTCTTTCAAAATGCAGCCAATGAAAACCCTACAGACCACAATCAAACATATTCATTATAGTGCTGGGATATGAATATCAAGGCTGGAACCAAAAAAACAAGCCCACTGCTATCAAGTTGATTCTGATTCCCAGCACCCTATAGAGGGTTTCCAAGACTAAATATTTACAGGAGCCGACAGCCTCATCTTTCTCCCCAGGAACAGCTGGTGCATTTGAAGCACTTACCTTGCAGTTCCACTAGGGCCCCTTCCTAGGCTGCGAGACATTGGAAATGTACAACAGACTTCCACACACCAATGACTATGAAGATGGTGTGAGGTTGAGCAACATTTCATTCTGTGTGTGTGGGATTGAGATGAGTAAATACCAATTTAAGGGCAGCTAACAACATTATTAAGACGCCTCTCAAGAGAATCCTCATAGAATCCAGAGTTTCTGGATCTATGGAGACTGAATTGTCCCAAATTATTGTCCCAAGATCATCTTTAAACCTTAAACTAAAAATATCCCCTGAAGTCTTCTAAAAAAAAACAGACAATAGTTTCGCTTCTAGAATAATTGTCTGCCTTGAGCATCATTCTCTTCCAAAGAACTATTTAAATTAAAACAAAAAACAAAAAACTGCCATCGAATCGATTCCAACTCAAAGAAACACTGCAAAACAAATCCAAACAAAACCCAGCGAATTGATTCTGAGTCATAGCAGCCCTGTACATGGTTTCCAAAGCTGCTGTTAGTATTTACTTACTGCACTTGTCTTCTTCAAAGTGCTTGGTGGATTTGAATTGTCCACCTTGCAGTTAACAGCCCACTTCTTATCCTAAAGCTCCTATTTAAAAGCCCACTGCCATTGAGTCGCTTCTAACTCATAGTTACTCTATAGAGAGTTTCCAAGACTATAAATCCCTATTGGTTTTGGAATTGGAACAGCCAGTCTCATACTTCTCCTCTGCTGCTGGGTTTGAATCACTGACTTTGCAGCTAGCAGTCAAATAAATGCTTACCCTGCAGCATCAGTAGGACTCCTTGGATGCTATGTTAAGTGCCATCAAGTCAGTTCCAACTCATAGTGAGCCTGTATAGGGTTTCATAGCAACCCTGTACAGTCATTGTTTGCAAGGAGCAGCTGGTGAGCTTGAACCATCGACATTGCAGTTCAAACTAACCTTACAATCCAAGGCATTAACCCACAACGCCACACCAGGACTCCTTGGGATCAAATTGACAACAGCAATTAAATAAAAGATCAGACAGGAAACTCTGGGGAAAGTGGTGGTGAGTTCATGTTAATAGGGAAGGGGACATTCAGAAAAGGAGGGTGAGGGTGACTCCACAATTTGAATAGGAGGGTGAGGGTGACTCCACAATTTGAATAATGTCGCTGAGTAGCAGATGTTGAAATTGTTGAATTGAAGCATATTTTGTTGTGTATATTTTCATGAACAATTTGAAAATGACGAAGCCTCTGATGAGCTCCTATTGTAACCACAGTGAAGGCAGGCAAGTCTGTGCCCTTAGGTATTCATGGTTTAGCTCAGGTTGACTGGCTTTAGTCAACAATTAAAAAACAGGCATTCATGGGGTGTTCCATTGTTTACAACAGTATTTACAACTGGATCTCAAACAATAGAGCCCAACTGTGAGCCACCCAAACATCTAGGGAGACTTACAGAGGCTCCGCCTGCCTTCCAAATGTATCCTCTTCCTTCCTGCTTCCTTTAGCTCTTCCCCCAGCCCAGTCTGTTTGCCCCTGCCACTGCCCACCTTCCTCCTCTGTGCTAAATGTTTTGCTTCTCGTCATGGTCATGGCAGAGTCAGGTGGTCATAGCACAAACATCTGACTCGTAATTGTTTTTCTCATTTTCCACGACCCAGTCCGTAATCAATAATTAAATGTTTTTCACTTGTTCATTTTCTGTCTTCCGCTAGAATAGTGCTTGGCAGTTGCAGGCCCAAGATAAATGTTTGTCAAAAGAATAATAGGTTACAGGCAAAAATGCATGGAAATGTTGGGAGCTTAGTTACCACTCAGTCTGTTTTAGTAGTAGTTCTGGTGAGGAACCCTAACCAAAACCAAAGCAGCTGCGCTTGAGTTGACTCCCACTCACAGCGACCCCATCTATGTCAGAATGGAAATACTCATAGAGTTTTCTTGGCTGTAATATGTCCCGAAGGAGCCCTGGTAGTGCTGTAGGATAAGCACTGGACTGCTAACCTCAAGGCTGCTAGTTCAAACCCACAACCTCTATGAGGGAGAATGATGAAGTAAATCCTATAAAGATTTACAGCCTCTGAAATGTATACAGGCTCTCTGTAAGTCAGAATTGGCCCAATGGTTGTGAGTGGGGATCGTTACCTAATGGTGGTGCAATGGTTAAAACACTGCTGCTAACCAAAAGGTTGCCAGTTCAAAACCACCAGCCACTCCATGGGAAAAAGATGTGGTAGTCTGCTTCCCTAACACTTTTAGAAACAAAAATAACCCCCAGTGCTTTCCAGTCAATTCCAGCTCAGAGTGATCATCCAGAACAGAGTGGAACTGCTCCATAGAGTCTCCAAGACTATAAATCTTTATCAGAGCAGACAGCCTCAGCTTTCTCTCCAGGAGCAGCTGGTGGGTTTGAACCACCAACTTTACACCACCAGGGGTCCTCCATAAAGATTGACAACTTTGGAAACTCTATTCGGTAGTTCTAGTCTTGTTTGAACCACAATGTTGGCGGTTCAGGCTCACCAGCCGCTCCTTGGAAACCCTAGACAGGGTCTCTCTGGGTCAGAATTGACTCAACGGCACTTAACAACCAACCACTCTGTCCTAGAGGGTCACTGAGGGTCAGAATTGCAAGCAAAGGACCACCTGGAGCCACGAAAAGCTAGCCTATGGAACATCCTTCTTCTTATGCCAAAGAGGGTCTCCAGAATGGTCATCCCCTCCACCTTGTCCCAGCCTCTCCCTAATTCCAGGCCTGTACTGATGGACTTCCCCACTCCCCTGGCCTGGGCAGCAGACAGAGCCCTGCACTCCTACCACTGCTATTACAGAGTCTCAGTTTCCCCACAAGGAAGATGACAACCCTATAGCAATGGCAAAACTCCAGCCTCAGCATGACCCTGAGTGGCTTCCCTTAGCCATCACCACTAGAGGCCAAGAAGAGGTGTCAGGATGGTGAGATGACCCGGGGCACAGTGGCCCCACGTTTTCCCCGGTGCCCCTTCCCTGAGGAGTTCCCCTAGAGGGAACTGGATCCAGGCTGTGGTGTTTCCTGAAGGGCAAGCCCTGAGAGACTGGTTTCAGTTTGTTAGAAAGGGGAATCCCAGTGTTGAGAGCTACCTCACGGGGGAGCCAGCCAGCTGAAAAACCCTGGGAACCTCAGGCCGCCACAGAGGGACAGAAAGGGGCAGGATTCCAGGGCCAAGGCAGAGCAGAGATTCTGCATTTCTATAAAATAGGAGAAAGGCCAGGCCCTGTGTTGTATGAGCCTTGCTGTGGCTGGCTGGTCAGGGAGGCAGGGCAGGGCAAGGCAGTGTTAGGGAAGTGGTAGGTCACAAACAGAACAAGTCTTACTTATAATGCCAGTTAGCTGGGGCCAACCACCTGTCATCTTTGAACCTCATTTTCTAATCTGTAAAATGGGTACTGAGAGGAAAACAGGAGATGAGATGGGAGCCTCCCACTTAGAATGACCTGGGTAGAGGTTCCCCATTCAGCCTAGCTGCTATAGTATGTAGCCATTGCAGACTGGCTCCTTTTCCTTAATGCCACTGCATCAAATCAAGCGTCGTAAAGAACCTATAGAATAGGGTGGAACATCCCTCTTTGGGTTTCGGAGACTGTGAATCTTTACAGAAGCAGATAGCTTTATCTTTCTCCCTTGGAGCAGCTGATGGGTTTGAACTGCTGACCTTGCGGCTAACAGTCCATTGCTTAACCAGTACATTGCTAGGACTCCTCCTCCTTTCAGTTAGCATATGTTTGTAAGGTTCTTCCTAGTCTTTTCCTAGCTCGATAGCCTCCCCTTTTTTTTTAAATCACTGAATAACGCCTTGTATGGATGTTCCACAGTTATCAGTTCACCTATGGAAAGACATTTAATAATGTATCAATCGTGTTTCATTCATTGTAGCATGTGTATCACAGGAATGCAAGATGTTAAAAAAAAAAAGCAACTGTGTGCTGGGGGTGGAAGACGTGTGTGTGTGTGTGTGTGTGTGTGTGTGTGTGTACTTGGGTACTCTCTACTTGGGTACAAACTGCTCTTAAAAAAAAACCAAACAGTTCCATAACAGAAAAAAAGAGAGCTATTGTATGAATCCACTTCTATGAGATATCTAGAACAGACAGATATATAGAGACCAAAGTGCATTAGTGGTTAGCGATGGAAGTAGAGAGAGGGAGTGAGAAAGTCATTGTTGAAGGGACATTGAGCTCTGTTAGGTGATGGAAAACTTTGGAAATAGATCATGATGATGGTTGAGCAACATGATGAATATCATGAATGTTATTGAAATGTACAGGTAAAAAGTGTTAAGACCTCAAATGTTTTGTTACATACATATACTTATAAAATTATATGTATTACCTATCATTCCAAAGATAAATAAATAAACTAAAACATGGTGTGGCACTGTAGGATAAACTCTGGCCTACTAACGAAAAACTTGTCAGCTCAAACCCACCAGCCGCTCTGTGGAAACCCTATACAGGGTTGCTGTAAGTTGGAACTGATGTGACAGCACTTAACAACAATCATTTCTCAAAAAGAATCTAAAGACTCTTTTAATAAAAAGAAGTACTCCCAGAAACACTCCACAATAGATCATTTTTTTAAATCAATAAAATCAAAGAATGATGGCGCATCTGATCACAAACCACCCCGCATGTTGCTACTGATGGAGCCTGAACAATGAGGTAACGTCTCATGGTTAATGCTGTTCTAACAATCCCACCCATTTCCACCCTAGGGGCTCTGTTTCCAGTCTCTGGGCCTCTGTCCCCAAGCATTCCATACCTGTGTCATGTGTGGCACTTCCAGCTGGCCAGATGACTCCAGGCCACCAATCCCTCCCTACACTCTACCTCCCACCCAGTATGCCTGGTTTAAGGATCCTTTACCACCCAGTATGCCTGGTTTTAGGATCCTTTATTACTTTTTTTTTTCCCTGTCCAAAAAAAATGACGAAACGATGATTGTTTGGTTTTTCCTCTTTTCAAAATTATTATTTTTTGTTGTTGGGTTTTTGTTTTTTGCTGTTTTTTAATAAAGTGACTTTAAAAAAAAATCTTTGGTGGGAGGAGTGTTTTATAAGTAAAAACATCAACTCTGTTATTCAGTTGTACAAATGTTTCATTTATGAAAACCAGTGAATATTTTGATTCAAAGGACTCTAAAATATTCTGACATTACAAGTTTAATTTAAAGTTCAAAAATAGAAACATAGTGAATGAATATAAATCACTCACAGACATAATCTTTTTCATAAAATCCCATTAAGGAACAATAGGTTAGTAAGCCCTTTTTTCAGCATTTGGTCAGACTAGTTCAAATGCCCTGGACAAACCTTCCGAGTGACTCTCCAAATCTTCCTCTACCAAATGAGGGTGCTGGCCCAGAATACTTCCTCCCACATTCCCTCCAAACTACAAATGCATACAGAATTGTTCATTGCACATACAGTAGTTTTACTAGTAAAACACACAATATATTTTTTTGCAAACCATGCAACTCACTCCAGCGTTAATTTCCTATGTTCTCTGTGTATGCATTACTTAGGTGGGCACATTATCTGCGAAAATTATATCTTTCCCAGAATGAGTTGATCCACCCTCAGTGAATTTCCTAGCAAATACTGACTTTAACACTAAAATTTTCAGAGTATAATTTTAAGCTTATCATTTTACAATGGACACACAATAAACTGTGCATATATACAAGGTATAATGGGATGGATTTGGACCAGAATAGCCAGAACTGGCTCCATTAAGGACTTCCCATGGCAGATCTGTTTTCCTGGGATCTCTAACCAGATGAAGTTGGGGTTACAGAAACTTTCAAGAGAGTTGTATAAACAGCTCAGCTGCTAACTGAGAAGTTAATGATTTGTGTCTAGCCAGAGATGCCTCTGAAGAAGGACCTGATGATCTACTTATGAAAATTTTGTCATTAAAGACCTTGTGGAGCAGAGTTCTACTCTGACACATAAGGTCACCAGGAGGCTGAGTTGCCTTGATCGCAATGGTTTCTCAGCCAGCCAATTAGAGGCATCTCCAATATCCCTTGGAAACAGGGTTGTTTATGGATGGCACCCTGCACCTACTATGCTGTTTTGCAACTGGGAAAATCAGGCTCAGGTGAGCTGAAATAGGTAGGCATCTAGAAGCTGTTCAGGGGTCTCCTAACTTTCCTTTATCACTGGCAGATCAGCTTTCGCTAATATTAACACCTTGTTCCTCCAGTCCTGGAGGTCTCTGGGCAGCATGTTCCTTGCAGTTCTATCTTCATTTGTAACATGAAGCAGGGGAGCAGGGGGGCTCAGTGGGCACATCCCTGTGAGCATGTAAGAGGCACCCTTTGCAGATCAGGACAGCAAAGGCCATCTCTGAAGTCCCCTCCCTCCCTCTTTCTGCTAACAGAGGGGAAGGTAAGGCTGGATCTTCTAGGGAGTTCTGCAGGTTAGAGTGGCAGCCTTGGAGCACATACCAGTCACCAGACAGACCCTGCTCACCCCACCCAGCCAGGAGTGGCTTGGGAAGCAGGGCAGGTCTGCACTTGTAGGAACCGGGCTGACTGGACAGGCCAGAATTCAGAACTCGGCCAAGCTCACAGACCAGGGTCTCTGCCAATGCCACACTGCCCCATGCAGGTAGGTATGACCCTGCTAGGTTTCTAGGGGCCACTCCCTTGGAGGGGGTGGGGGAGGCTGCACAGCAGTGTAAGGTCCAAGTGGCCTGGCCCAGTGGTCAGGAATAGGGTAAAAAGTATACCCCAGAAGGCCCCCACCAAAGCACAACACATGTGCCACCCTGGCCTGGCAAACCTCCACCCAAAGCCAGCCTTGATCTCTGAAATTCAGATCCCTGGAGTTCACCCCATTTGTGTGACCGGTGCTCCCATTTCTGGTTCCAATTAGCTGAGTAAGTTGTGTCCCCCAACTTGCCCTTCCTGAGTTTCAAAGTCAGGATCAAAGAGCCTAAACAGTGTCACCTCTACCATCCCACCCTTCTCCCAATCCATAGCCCCTTGCTGGTAGAACACCCTAACACCATCACAGAGCCAATTCTCGCTTCTTTAAGGTGTGCACTTTTATTGAACTCGTCAAAGTCAGTGTACAGTGAAGCCCTGGCTTTCTCCACATGTCAACCAACCCAGGGGAGACCAAAAGCCTTCATAGTTCTAAAGTTGGGGGACAAAGGAGGGGTGCCACAATGGCTGACCATTCAAAACGAAAGAAAATTAAAAAAAGAACAATTATTAAGGCGGAAGAGTTTTCTAAAAAATTTGGATTACATAATTTACACAAAAGCAATGCTGCGGATCCCCCCACCCTGCGTGGACCTGGAGTGGGTGGGGGAGGACTGGGCCCTTTCTCCTTAGGGGAAAAGCAGGGTGGCTTTGGAGAAGGCAGGAGCTTCCTGTCACATGGCATCGCACGTTATTTGGAATGACTATTAAAAAAAACAAAAAAAAAAAAAAAAACAACAATGTACAATCAAAGTCCTCGGCCACATTGTAGAACTTTGGGGATGCTCGCTCCAACTGCTGTCACCCTCAGCGTTCCAGTTTTTAAATCCTGAGTCAAGCGCCAAAAAACAAAACAAAACTGAAAAAAAACCAAAAAATAAAACAAATAAAGCCATGCCAATTTCATCTTTTTTTTTTTTCTCTCTGCGCAAGTTAGGTTTTTGTCAAGAAAAGGGTGTAACGCAACTAAGGACAGTCCGCCTAGAAGCATTTGCGGTGGACGATGGAGGGGCCGGACTCGTCGTACTCTTGCTTGCTGATCCACATCTGCTGAAAAGTGGACAGCGAGGCCAGGATGGAGCCACCAATCCACACAGAGTATTTGCGCTCAGGGGGAGCGATAATCTGGGGAGAGAAGAGAGACAGTCAAAGTGCTGAAAATCTGATGTCACAGCTCGATGCGGATTGGCAGGCAGGCAGACAGACGTTGAGAATACCTACTTGAGGAACGAACCATCCTAGTAAACCCCATACACCAAGACTGCCATGACATTTGCTATGGTCCATCCTAGGCACTGGCCAATCTGACGGTCACCTCCCACCCTCACATGACCAGGTGGGTACTCACCTTGATCTTCATGGTGCTGGGCGCCAGAGCTGTGATTTCCTTCTGCATCCTGTCAGCAATGCCTGGGTACATGGTGGTACCACCAGACAGCACTGTATTGGCGTAGAGGTCCTTACGGATATCCACATCACACTTCATGATGGAATTAAAGGTGGTTTCATGGATGCCACAGGATTCCATTCCTGGAGGGATGCAGAAAGCAGACTTAGCGTTAGTGTCCCTGTGAGGATCCCCAAGGGTGACCCCAGATAAAGAGGTGGGATAACCCAGCTTACTCACCCAGGAAAGAGGGCTGGAAGAGGGCCTCTGGGCACCGGAATCGCTCATTGCCGATGGTGATGACCTGCCCATCAGGCAGCTCATAGCTCTTCTCCAGGGAAGAGCTGGAGGCTGCTGTGGCCATCTCCTGCTCGAAGTCCAGGGCGACGTAGCAGAGCTTCTGCTTAATGTCACGCACGATTTCCCGCTCAGCTGTGGTGGTGAAGCTGTAACCCCTCTCCGTGAGAATCTTCATGAGGTAGTCTGTCAGGTCCCGGCCAGCCAGGTCCAGACGCAGGATGGCGTGGGGGAGGGCATACCCCTCATAGATGGGCACAGTGTGGGTGACCCCATCGCCGGAATCCATCACAATGCCAGTGGTGCGGCCAGAGGCATACAGGGACAGCACAGCCTGGATAGCGACGTACATGGCAGGAGTGTTGAAGGTCTCGAACATAATCTG